CTCCTAATTGAGATTAACGGATGAAAAAAGAGCAGTTCGACGGAGAATTAAATTCCACACTAACTAAGCCTCTTTCATCCCTTAATCTCTGTAAAAAATGGAAGAAACTGTCATGGAAATAAAAGCGCATTAAGAAAAATAATTGTTTTGCGGCGCACAGTGACTCCCGGTAATTAAAAATTCACCTCTCCCCTCCTAATTGAGATTAAGGGATGAAAAAAGGGCAGTTCGACGGAGAATTAAATTCCCCATCAATTAACTCTCTTTTATCCCTTAATCTCAATTAGTAGGGGAGAAGTGAATTTTTAATTCGCGAGCTAATGGTGAAAAGTCAGTGTGCGCCGCAAAAGAATTATTTTTCTTACTGGCCCCTGATTTTCATGGCAGTTTTTATTTTTTTGTTACAGAGATTAAGGGATAAAAGAGAGTTAATTAATGGAGAATTTAATTCTCCGTCGAACTGCTCTTTTTTCATCCCTTAATCTCAATTAGGAGGGGAGAGGTGAATTTTTAATTACCGGGAGTCACTGTGCGGGGCAAAACAATTATTTTTCTTACGGCGCTGTGATTTCCCTGACAGTTTCTTCCATTTTTTACAGAGATTGAGGGATGAAAGAGTGTTAATTGTTGGGTAATTTAGTTCTCCGTCAAACAGCTTTTTTTTCATCCCTTAATTTCAATTAGGAGGGGAAAGACAAATTTTTAATTCGCGGGTAAATGGTGAAAAGTCACTGTGCGCCGAGAAGAAAATTATGTTTCTCATTGGCCCATGACTTTTGTCGTAGTTTGTATTTTTTGGTACAGCGATTAAGGGATGCAACGGGGATCGATTGATGGGAAATTTAATTCTCCATTACACCGTCTGGGTTTCATTCCTTAATATTAATTAGCCAGCAAATGAATCACCTGAAAAACATTAAGAACATGTTGAGGACGAGGAGAGCATAAATTGCCCTTCGAAACTATCCCTGTAACAGCAGGACTGTTACTGCCGAGTTACCCGCACAGGCAGCAGTATACTATTAGCCAACAAATAGTTATTTTCATCACAAGGTCCACAAAGTATTTTCTGACGAATGTGGCTTTGTAGGCCGAGCCGAAGGCGAGGCCTATAATCACATTCGTCAGAAAATACTTTTGGACCGTGTGATGAATGCAATTTTTCGTCAGAAGGCCCGTAAACCGCGATCAAACCGAGCGAAGCGAGGTTAGAATCGCGGTTTACCGGGTCTTTTCACGAAAAAACTATTTTCAAACAAATGACCCTATCGAATCGTTTGTAATTCGATTGCAGGTCATTGTACACCCGAGGCTAAATAGCTCGTGGGTTCTCCGGCTATGTACTGTCAGTTTAAAAAAAAAAAGAGTATCTTGTGTTCATCATTAAAATAGTTCATCACCGAGGACAATCACATTTTCATAATTATACAATTAATGATATCACCTCTATGCTTGTAATTACATTCAAGTTGTCCTGGATTTTTTTGGTTGGAGAAAAGTTGAAGGTAAGTAAATTGGAGTATATATATATATATGTAATAGCTAAAAAAACAGTTGGTGATTATTATCTAAAAAAAAAAGTTACCATTCAGATTTACATCTTCTTCTTCTTCTAGACTGCAGTAAAGACCTCACGATGCCTCGAAAATGTGCAGTTCCCAAGGAAGTTGCTATTGGAGTTTTATATAGATATATGGATCATTTCAAAAATGGATCGCATCCTCCATATGGCTCAGAAGTGTGGGACGATTTAGCTAACGAATGTGATGGTGCATGGAGTCGACTGTCTTGGTGGGCAAGTGTTACAAACGATCGACGGGGTATTTTATCTAAGGCACGACAGGATCTAGGAGTTGAGGTTCCCGAAGGGACTGATAAGAGGGACTCTACATCTGCACACAGTGATATGTCATTTCATGGAACTGATTCCGATGAAGAGAAGGGTGAATCGTGGTTTAAATTAGTTCTAACACAGGAGCGGTGGACTAGAATCAAACCTGTGAATTCTGATGTCAATGAAGGAAAAAGAAAAGTTTTTTGTCGGCTAATAGTATACTGCTAGTGGCTGGGATTGCTCAAAGTATAGGCCCGAGAAGAATGAACGGGTTCGTACCTCGATTGTTTTACCGTCGATATACCAGTTAATGCCACCTAGAGACGAGTCCGCTAGTATTTTATGTAAGTTATATATATTTTCAGTGGTAGGTTGAATTTGGTTGACGTAGGGGCAAGTTTATAGTTTTTTCTTTGAATTCTAAACGTTATTCATGTGCAAATATGGAAAAATTAATTTAAATCAAAGTTTGAACAGATGTCTCTCCTGCGCCAGTTTATGCCACCTTCAAAACGACTCGTGCCAGTTTCTGCCATGGCGGAGGGCCAGTTAATGCCACTGGATTGAAAAATCGTCTTTAATTATTAGGAGAAAGTTAAATAATCATTTATTCATAAAAATCATAACAAATCTTTCTGCAGTACATCAGATTCAATACGGAACATGACAAATAAAATTATTCTTCAGGTTTTTTCGACATTACTATCGCACTTCCAACGTCAGTCTCGATCTCTCCTGATCCATCAATAAGCTCTTTCTTTATTGCTTTGGCGATGATTGGCGATTCATTGCTGATCGCTTCTTCTTGCTTGCTTCCAACTCGAACTCCAGTTTTGGTTGACTTATTCTTCTTCGAGAATTTTGCCTCTTTATCAGCGGTTTCCTTCAATTTTTTAGCTTCTCTCATCTCTCTCTTCATTCTTATCTCTCCCATCTGCTTTTGTTTTTGCTCTTGTCGAGCAGCTTTTGCCATTTCTCGATTTTTTCTCTTCAATTCTTGAACGTTAACTCTCTCTTTCTTAATCCTCGCTCTTTCTAGTGCTCTCTCAGCCTTCTTCAAGTCTTCAGCGGATTTCAGTGCTTGTTTAGCTTCGTGGAAGATCTCCCCATCAGCAGAAACAGCCACTGATGGCATTTTTGCCTTAACCTCGGCGTTTATGGCTCACTTACCCTTCCCTCTAGCTGGATCAGGTACCAGGAGTGCTCTTTTAAAAGGAGATGGAAAATTTGGAATAGGATAATTGATATTTTCTTTTGTAGGGGTCTTTCCCGGTTTGGAAATAGAAGAGATGCCACCAGTGGATTGAGTTTCGAGTTTTTCCTCCACTTGCACTTTTGATTGTTCGTGAGATTCAAGATCGGAAGTTCCCAGGATGTTTTCGGTGTCATCCTTCTGTTCATCTGGGAATGGCTTAGATAGATCGTGCAGATCTGCTCTCACAATACTCTCATCAGTGATGACATTTTGATTATCATCAATAGTCAGTTTTGGAGTTATGTTAACGTCTTCAGCAATGGGTTCCGAGACTTTTTTACACTCAATTTCATCTCTCTCATTGTCTATCCCAGTAGATTCTGTCGGTATGTCTCGCAGCTCGTGTTTTGGTGTCTGAGACTGTGCGTGTAGTACACTCACCCTCATAGAATCTTCTAGACCTGTGTCAGGAACTTGCATCAACTTCCCATCCTTAGAAATTTCAAATAAGACTGGTTCTTCAGTTAGTATAAACTCCGACAAGTCAGCTTCTGTGATAAAAGAGTCGATGATGATTGGGGACGAGACTGACGCGTTTTCTTCAATATTGAAGGGTTCATTCGAACTTTGATATTCGTTGTTCGTTTCCTCTTGCTGACCCTGTGAAATTAAAAGACGACACACACTCACAACCTGAAGAATAATACCTACATTTTAATAGATCTCTACTCAATTCAATAATTAAAACGCGATCAATAAGTACCCTCAATCAATTCGCAGCTCGNGAAGGGTTCATTCGAACTTTGATATTCGTTGTTCGTTTCCTCTTGCTGACCCTGTGAAATTAAAAGACGACACACACAACTTGAAGAATAATACCTACATTTTAATAGATCTCTACTCAATTCAATAATTAAAACGCGATCAATGAGTGCCCTCAATCAATTCGCAGCTCAGGATCTATATTTCCAAAATTATTGATCTAATCAAAGCTACATGTATGCAAATACCGGAGTTCTTGTCGAATCGTCCTCTTGTTCTTGGTAACTGTTCTCAGAAGTCACGCTGTTCTCCATTCCCTTCATTTTCCTCCATACATGAAAAAGACTTCGATTCGATGGATTCCCCATCCACTCCTCCTTACTCTCCTTGAAGCTTTTCAAAACATCTTTATCTATGTGACTTTCCATCACTTCCAAAGCATCCACCGTAGAATTTTCTTGTCGAAGTGTTGGGGTAAATGGAGGAGGCTTAGAACCTTTGAAAAATCTCTGGTAATTAATTGAGTCTGCAGAGAAAGGATGCAAACCCGCAGCTCGAAACCCATTTTTCAAAATAGACTCCCATTTCAATGTGTCAATTGCTTTCTTCATCAGCCCTCCGAATTTCTCTAATGGTAAACGATCGCCATTATTCTCAAACCTCCAATCTCGCACGACTTTCGCCCAAGCAGCTTTCAAAGGTTTGAAAACTGCTACATCCATCGGTTGGAGGATATGAGTCGCGTTTGGATGTAGTGCAGTCAATATGATCTTTTTTTCCTTGCAAAACCTGCTCAGCGAATATGTTAAGTAGGATACATGGCCATCGACATATAGAATTACTGGAAATTCTAACATCGACATATAGAATTACTGGAAATTCTATGTTATTGTCGATTAACCATTTGTAGAAAATTATTGAAATCCAGTCGGAAAATGATTTAGCAGTTTCCCAGCCGTTGTCTGTGTGTCCAATAGCCCAATCTTTAGGGAATTCTGATGGAATGCGACGAGGAATTTTCTGATACTTAAACAATACCATTGGTGGTATTATTTGGCCGGCTGCATTTCCTCAGAAGAGAGTTGTGAGGCATTCTTTGTCGTCATTTTTAACGTATGAATATGCTGTTTTGTCGCCTTTTTCTACCAGAACATTCCCTGCTTTTGGAGCCAACAGAAACGAAGACTTATCACAGTTAAATACTCTTGATGCATCGATGTCCAACACACCCTCTGCCTTAAACTGCTCCTCAACTTCTTTAAACCAAGTTCGAATACTTTCCTCATTCAGACAAGCTCGAGAATACTGTAAATTTTGAGATAATTTCTCACAGAGCTCAGGATGTCGTTCTTTGAAGCCGTCGTACCAACTACGTCCTGGTGTATTTTTTGTAAAAACTTCTTCTCTTCTCTTCATTTCCCTCAGCAACGATTTAATACTATTTAATAACTGATATTTGCCAACTGGAAATCCTCGCGCACTCATCACTATGATCCACTCCACTAGTCGAGCTTCAATGTCTTCGCCTAGGATGCAGGGTGTCCCTCTCCTCTGGATCACAGGCTTCAAAATCCCATTTTTCTTGTACCTCAGGGTAGTTCGGGGAATGTTAAAGTTTTTGGCAACAGTAGCAACTGGAGATCCATCCTGAATTGCTTTCAAAGCCGCCTTTAACTGCAATTCTGTGTATTTTGGTGTAGAATTTTGTTTTTTCGTTTTAGTCCTAGTGAAAACGGAAAATATGATGCATACATTTATTCTAAATTCATCTCATTATCTTTTAACAAATGGAAACCAAGTTAATCAATAATTACTTTGAACTGAATATTGAAGATTCATATTTTTACAGAAGTGTAGGGAGATTGCGAGGTTAGGTGAATGAGTGGCATTAAATGACACGACGGTCCATCCGGAGGTGCCAGTCATTACCACCCATATTTTCGTGTTAAAAATATGATTTCATCGATGTTTAACGATTTAATCGGATGAAACAATCAATCTGGGACAGACACATGTAATTTTGAATTGATTTGATACTTACATTTTTAATACATTGAGCGAAAACCAAAGTGTAGATTCTAACCTCTCGGAGAGAGCCACACTCGTTTTAGCTAGTTCAGCGTGTCTGTCAAATTTGGCGGTTAAATAAAAAATATTGCTCGTAGTCAGAAAGTGATGATTTTTGACGATAGAGGACAGGAGAGATTACTCTAGAGATTCATAGAAAGCACTTTGAAATTAAAACATTATTTCACTTGGATATACCGGGAAATGTGCTTAGAGTGGCAGAAATGGGGACAGTGGCATTAAACTGGTACATCGACGGTAGTTCGTGCTTCAGTGATTGGGTAAAGTGGGAGAATTTGGACGGATTTTCAACACCGGTGACGGCGACTCAAACCTCAACAATATCAAACAAAGTAAATATCTGGAGTCAGTGGGTTTAGGATAAAAAAAGGAATAATTTAGAAAAATATATGGTTTTAATTGTCACTGACAGTGCTGATGAGTTGGCGAGGATAGGAGTATTTTATATTTTCTTCTTCTCGGTAAATATTTAATCATTTTGGGAATGAGTTATTCTAGAGGGTAATTGTCAAAAGACAGATTGCCATAGATTTTTTCAACTACACAGATGTCTCTTGACATAAACTCCGAAAATGACGCATTCCATAATCTATTGACAATATCATTGTTGAATGAAAACTTTTCATAATTTTGTTATTGATGCAATATGAAAATAAAAGGATAATAATATTTGAAACTTTTGATTCAGACAGACTCTATCAGAAACAATTTCTAGTTACTATTCATGAAATTTTTTGAACGAATTTTTTTTTATTGAAGGGTTTCGTTCATTTCATTCGAATGTAAAGCAACTGATAAAGGTTTTTTTAGCAGAATTCTTAAAATATTAATTCTTGTAAATTTCTATTACAGATATGGGGGCGAAACATCGAGAAGAAACCGACAATTTCTATAAGATGCACTAGTGAATTGAATCAACAAACAAAATAAATAATCTGAAGCCGTTGGATCCGAGAAAGAATTGAATAATTCATCTGAATATATTTATGATATCCACATTCATGGAGCTTATAGCTAAGAGAAAAACACAGTATTCGTCTTGACAAGTCTTTAATTATTTTGGCAACGAATGATTTTAAAGGGGAAAGTGACCAGAGAAGGATTCCTTATGAATATATTTTCAACTACATAAGAGGTCTTTCAATGCCTAAAATCATTTCAGTAGAAACAAAATATGCAGACAAAATTTGTTGTTGAAAACTTTCCTCAATTTTGTTATTGATTGAATATGAGAATAAAAGAATAACAATATTTGAAACTTTTACTCAGACAGATACTATCAGAAACACTTTCTACTTTCCTTTTTATAGTATTTCCCAAACCACTTTGGCTATCCAACAGTTTGTTTATTTTCATTAGAGTGTAAAGTCACTGACAAAGGCTTTTATCTGTAATTCAATGAATTTGGCAAATTTCTTCTATTTGCAGAGAAAGATATTGATCTTTGCAAATTTTTGTTGCAGATATCGGGCGAAACATCTGACAGACTAAACATTTTCACGAAATTCAAGGGTGAATTAAATGAACTACGAAAATGAATAATCTGGGTGTGGTGGGTCAGAAAAAAATTGAATAAAATTTTCTGGAATTTCCAAGTGTTTCATTTAATTCCCCAAAATGGCCGTAGAATTTTGATTATCTCAAGAACTACAGTAGTCAGAAACTCAAATCAGAATTCATAATGAAGCCAGGAAAATTTCTAATCCCACCCATCCATTATGAAACCTCCCTAAAGTTAGCGGAACAATGTCAAAAAATGGCATATTTGTTTGGGTCAAAATTATGTATTTTTTATGGGTAAAAGAGTGCGCGAACAGAAAAAAATCATGCTCCATCTCTCTCTGAGTTAGGGGGGAGGGGATGAAAATAGGGGATAATTCAAAAATACGATATGCCATAAATATGTGTTTTTTGCGTGCTCCAAGATAGAGAGGGGGAGTGGAGGCTAATTGAATAGATCACACCTGTGGGGGCAGATTCAGTTTAAGGGTTGAAATTTCCAAATCAACGAATTGACTTGAATGAATGGGGCCATAATTATTTGTTTTTAACCTGCTCTAGTGTAGTGAGTAGGTAAGGGTTGAAAAATTAATCTGATGGTAAAGTCGTCCCTAGATGAGAAATTGAATTTCAAGGGTGGAAAAAAGAAAACTGATGTTAATAGCTGAAAGCGATGCGTCATAATTATGTGCTTTTTACGTGTTTCAGGATAGGGGGGGGGGAGCAGATTGGGCGAGAGCCCCTATAGAGGGGATCGACTCTGGGGTTTAATACCGAGGCGGAATGTGGAATGGACATAACGTCATTGAAAAATCCATCACATGAACCTAATTGACTAGAAAAAATGTGTTACACAATAGACAGGATAAAGCGGATCGTACCTGAGTTTACCTTGTCGTGCAGAGATCAGGTATACGGGTGACCGTTGGCACATTTGATACAGTCGCCATCTTTTTTTTTGTATGCATCATCGAGTGCAAAAAAAATGTGTTCCACCTCCAGGCACCAGATATATTCATGCTCTATTCTGAGACGGACTGCGACCTGCCTATCGACCTGATATACCTGAAAACCATAATCGTAACGCTCCACACTGAGCGAGGTCAATAAATCTGTGCCTGAGTTTGCTTTATCGTAAACACATCAGGTATACTGATGACCATTGGCACCTCTGCCACGGTCGCCATCTTTTTTTTTGTATGTGTCATCGAGTGCAAAAAAATGTGTTTTCACCTCCAGGCACGAGAAATATTCGTGCTCTATTTTGAGACGGACTGTGACCTGCCTATCGACCTGATATACCTGAAAACCATGATCATAATGCTCGGATCGACTCAAAAAATTATGCGCTCTACAATGATCAAGGTCAATAAATCCGCGCCTGAGTTTGCTTTATTGTAAACACATCAGGTATACTGGTGACCGTTGGCACCTCTGCCACGGTCGCCATCTTTTTTTTGTATGCGTCATCGAGTGCAAAGAAATATGTTTTCACCTCCAGCCACGAGAAATATCCGTGCTCCATTCGTAGACGGACTGCGACCTGCCTATCGACCTGATGTACCAGAAGACCATAATCATAACGCTTGGATCGACTCAAAAAATTATGTGCTCCATAACGAGCGAGGTTAATAAATCCGTGCCTGAATTTGCTTTATCATAAAGAGATCAGTATACCGGTGATCAGGTATACCGGTGACAGTTGGCACCTTCGTCACGGTCGCCATCTTTTTTTTGCATGCGTTATTTAGTGTAAAATAATATGTGTTTTCACCGCCAGGCACGAAAAATATTCGTGCCGGACTGCGACCTGTCTATCGACCTGATGTACCTGTAGACTATGATCATGAGACTTGGATTGGCCTCAAAAAATCATGTGCTCCACAATGAGCGAGGTCAATAAATCTGTGCCTGATTTTTCTTTATCGTAAAGAGATCAGGTATACGTGACCGTTGGCACTTTTGCCATGGCCGCCATCTTTTTTTTTATATGCGTCATTGAATGCAAAAAAAATATGTATTCACCTCCAGGCACGAGAAATATTCGTGTTCCATTCGGAGAACAACTGCGAACTGTCCGTCAGCCTGATGTACCTGCAGGCCATCATAAAACCCGGATCGACTTTAATAATTATGTGTTCCGCAATGGATCAGATCAATGAAATCGTGCTTGAGTTCGCCTTGTAGAGATATTAGGTAGACCGACTGCAACTTTCTCATCGACCTGATATACCAGAAGACTGTAATCGAAACGCTTGGATCAATTAAAAAAATCGTGTTTCACATTGAACTGAGTCATTGAATGCGTGCTTGAGTTTGTCTCGTCGTAGAGAGATTAGGTAGACCGGTGACAGTTGACATTTTTGCCACGGTAGCCATATTTGTTTTTGTATGCGTCATCGAGTACAAAAAAATATGTATTTCCACCTCCAGGCACGAGAAATATTCGTATTCCATTATGAGACGGACTGCGACCTGCTCCTCGACCTGATATACATGGAGACCATAATCATAACGCTCGGATTGATTAAAAAAATCTTGTGTTCCACATTGAGCGGGGTCATTCAATCCGTGCCTGAGTTTGCCTTGTTGTAGACAGATCAAGCATACCGGTGACAGTTGACACTTCTGTCACAGTAGCCATCTTTGTTTTGTATGCGTCATCAAGAGCAAAAAAATGTGTTTTCACCTACAGACACTGGAAATGTTCGTGCTTCATTCGGAAACTGACTGCCACCTGCCAATCGACCTGATATACCTGAATAGAATGATCATATTCTTTGGATCGACTCAAAAAATCATGTGCTCTACAGTGAACGAGGTCAATAATTCAGTACCCGAGTTTGCCTTGTCGCAGAGAGATCAGGTAGATCGGTGACAGTTGACACCTTTGCAACGGTCGCCATCTTTTTTTTTGTATGCGTCATCGAGTCCAAAAAAATATGTTTTCATCTCCAAGCACGAGGAATATTCGTACTCCATTCGGAGACCGACTGCGACTTGCCCATCGACCCCACGTACCTGAAGACCATGATCATAAGGCTTGGATTGGCCCGAAAAATCATGTGCTCCACAATGAGCGAGGTAAAAAAATCCGTGCCTGAATTTGCTTTGTCGAAGAGGTCAGTCATACCGGTGACCATTGACACCTTTGCATCGTTGACACCAACTCAGGGAATAGTCGCGTCAGTGGCGCATTTTGAATAATTTGCATTACTTCCACCTGTTATACCTTGCTCCGAGATTCCCAGAAGATGAAGAGATTTCCACAGCAGCGCAATGGACTGAAATTATATAAATTCACTGACTCTAATCCTAGTAAAAGAAGTTGACTCTGTTCAGAACATTTCTCAGATGATTATTGTAACAGAAGTCAACTTCGAGTACGCCTCAAGGCTACAAGAATTTCAACACGTTTCGAAATGTCTCCAACAGCATATGTGAACCCTGGCGATCCAGGACCGACGGTATACCGTCGTTGTTGCGTCGTTGATTTTTGTCGATTTTGGGGCTAGAAAAAGGGGAATGACCCCTAAAAACATTATAAAAGTTGATAGATGAGGTATTTATTCATATTGATACCGTTAATTGCATTGTTATTTATCAATTGGATGAAATAATTTTTAGTTTTAAGAATGGTGATAGAACCTTGTAGGGGGAATGCCGCGAGATGGTGGTAGCGTCAATTTCCCGCTCGGATCGGTAAAGTCGACAGTAGTCATAACCAGGCTGGTCTGACCAGTCGTCTGCCGAGCTAGTTAACGGGTATGCAATGTTGCCGCATGTCTTGTTATTTTATTTTAGGTAATCAAAAGTGCACAGAAAATAGGAAATGCATCGGATATATTTTCATATGATTAACTTTAGATAATAATAATTATTTTTACATTGTTTTAATTGGGGAGGGGGTTGCCGAATCTGACTCAGCCACCCCCATGCATTGATTCAATAAAAAAAAAAGTTAAATATATAATGAATATCGCGAAAACTGATAATTTACGAGGGGCTGCAGGGGGAGGTATGATGGCGCAGGGTTGCAAATTTCACCCAACAAGAGGAGGGGTTTCCAGAATCTATCTGAGGCACCCCTCATCCCGCCGTTCGCATGTGTTAATTAAGTAAATTAAATCAAATTTTTGGATGAAAAATTAAAATTTCCTTAATTAAGATTTCACGAGGCGGCGGAAGAGGAAGATACGACGGCGGAGGGTCGCACATTTTACCCAACAAGGGGAGGGGGTTGTCGAATCTGACTGAGCCACCCCCATGCGTTGATTAAATAAAAAAAATGTTAAATATATCATGAAAATCGCGAAAATTGATAATTTACGAGGGGCTGCAGGGGGAGGTATAATGGCGGAATGTTGCAAAACGTACTCAAAAAGGGGATGGGGTTTCAGAATCTAGCTGAGCCACCCCCCATCTCTCTGTTAGCATGCGTTGATTGAATAAAAAAAATTGGTAAATGAAAAATGAAACTCGAAAATTGTGGTTTCGCGAGGGGGGAGGGAAGGGGGAGGTACAGCGGCGGAGAGTTGCAAATTTTAGCCAATTAGGGGAGGGGGTTTCTGAAACTGCCTGAGCCGCCAGCGTCCCTCTGTTCGCATGCGTCATTTAAATGAATTAAAAAAATGTTTAATAAAAAATATCAATCTTAGTTAATTGAAATTTCAAGAGAAGGTGGAAGGGGGACGTATGATGGCGCAGGGTTGCAAATTTTACCCACAAGACCAGAGGGTTCCAGAATTCCCATGCATTGATTACAAAAATTGTTCAAGAAAAATTGTTAACAAAAATCGTTAAATAGGCAATGAAAATCGCGAAAATTCATAATTTACGAGTGTGTGCAAGGCGGGGGTATGATGGCAGACGGTTGCAAATTTTACTCAACAAGGGGAGGGGTTGTCAGAATCTATCTGGGTCACCCCCCATCCTTTCGTTAGCATGCGTTGATTGAATAAAAAAATGTTGAATAAAAAAATGCAAATCTCGAAAATTGAGGCTTTGCAAGGGGGGGACGGGGAAGTGTTGGAATATTCGAGCACAGCTCTTTCATTGTTGTACAAAACTACTCGACAAAGATTTATGCCATACTGGGAAAACAGTTCTAGAAAGGGACTAATTTACGATCGGTTATCCTCCGCACTCGAGAGCGGTTTAATCTTAAACATGTGCCGAAATTTGAAAAAGGACTGTTTCCTCTTCAGGCATAAAACTTTATGATTTTATTTTTCGTGTTCTCAGTGAGAATTTTCCCTTGGTTATATTAGTTAGTCTGGACAACTGTCCTCTAGTACAGACGTGCCTTCCTCGTGTAAAATAAAGAGAGTTCGATAAAGTATTTCACTGGTTTGCCGTATTTTTTTCATTCGCTTGCACTCATATTCCAGCAGGAAGGTATGACGACGGAGGGGGTGGCAAATTTTAGCCAACAAGGGGAGGGGGTTCCCGTATCGTACTGAGCCACCCTCATGCGTTCACGGAGAGAAATTTTTTATAAAAATTATCCTTCCAGTAGGATAAAAGTGTACTATGACTCACTTTTCACGGATCTTTATTCTGACGTTTATCAAAAATTGATATTAAATAATGCAATTTATTACAAGCAAAATAAACTTTATCCTACTGGACGATAATTTTCACCATACAATAAAAAATTGATGATATATTTATCAAAATTTATATGGATCAAAACAAATAATCTACATGAGAAAGATAAAAATTATTGTTATCCGGTTAGTTATTATACTGTCATAAAAATAATTTTTATCCACTCAAGTCGACTAAATTTTATCCATCGTGCGCATTAGAAAGTAACCAGATGCGCGACTATTTTTATCCTTCCAAATAATAAAAAGTCTAAAGGTAATGTAGAAACTCTCGGGGTAAAAATATTTCTGGCCCGGTCAGTAACACTTGAGTGTATTTGCGAATACGTCGTATATATGAC